GTGTGTGTGTGTGTGTGTGTGTGTGTGTGTACACATGTGGTGTGTGTGTATGTGTGTGTGTGTGTGTGTGTGTGTGTGTGTGTGCGTACGTGTGTGCGTGTGTGTATGTGTGTGTATGTGTGTGTGTGCGTACGTGTGTGCGTGTGTGTATGTGTGATGCTAAACATTGAACCCTGCGCAAGTGAGGCTGGGTTTCACATATATTATCACAATGGTCCCACCAGTCATCTAGCCACTCTAACCTCATACGTGCTACAAAACAAGATGCGTCCTGTGCATGACATGTCAATCTGGCACGAGAGTATGATTGTGTGTTGGTCGTCATGTGCCTGTACACGTAATCACAGCATAGTAGGAGTGTGTGTACATGGTCTTATGCCCATACACGCAATCACAACATAGCGTAAGTGTGTGTGTATCGTCATGTGCTGTACATGTGTGTTGTGTGGGGACCACTCAGTCGACCGCACTTGGCTCTATAGTTTAGATGGCCTGTGCGCTCGGTGGACTATAGCAACGCCGGACAGTTCTGTACTATTTACGTCAGCTATCGTGCAAGATCCCTGTCTAAAATCAGTGGGTTGATATAGGGACGTACATGTATGTGATATATATCTCCACACAGCAACGGATCAAACCATCTTTTGGGCCGGGTATAAACGGCTTACGTGTGGCTTCTCCATTCACACACACGGCACAGCCTCTCAATGTGGCGTAGAACAGAGCCAAGAAATTGAGTGCATGGGTTATATGTGGGCGGGGGTGCACGTGGCTATCGCGTACATGTGTGTGCACGTGGCTATCGTGCACAAATGTGTGCACGTGGCTATTGTGTACAAGTGTGTGCACGTGGCTATCGTGCACATGTGTGTGCACGTGGCTATCTTGTACATGTGTGTGCACGTGGCTATCGCGTACATGTGTGTGTACGTGGCTATCGTGCATATGTGTGTGCACGTGGCTATCGTGTACATGTATGGTGCATGTGCTGTATGGCTCCTGTTCTGAGGCTCGGCTGCTTTTGTTAGCACACGAACTGTGGGTTGGAGACGGAGTGTCTGCTCCTGCTGACGCCTCGTGTGTAGTCTGACCTCATAAGTGTACAGTGAGCTACGCATGGACATAGTAACAGATGAGATGATATGATATACTACGTAGTGTGGGCATAGACACAGTAGCAGATGAGACGATATGATATACTACGTAGTTTGGGCATAGACACAGTAACAGATGACACACTAGCAGATGAGACGATATGATATACTACGTAGTGTGGGCATAGACACAATAACAGATGACACACTAGCAGATGAGACGATATGATATACTACGGAGTGTGGGCATAGACACAGTAACAGATGACACACTAGCAGATGAGACGATAATAGTCACCGTAACAGATGACACACTAGCAGATGAGACGATATGATATACTACGTAGTGTTGGCATAGACACAGTATCAGATGACACACTAGCAGATGAGACGATATGATATACTACGTTGTGTGGGCATAGACACAGTAACAGATGACACACTAGCAGATGAGACGATATGATATACTACGTAGTGTGGGCATAGACACAGTAACAGATGACACACTAGCAGATGAGACGATATGATATACTACGTAGTGTGTGCATAGACACAATAACAGATGACACACTAGCAGATGAGACGATATGATATACTACGTAGTGTGGGCATAGTCACAGTAACAGATGACACACTAGCAGATGAGACGATATGATATACTACGTAGTGTGGGCATAGACACAATAACAGATGAGACGATATGATATACTACGTAGTGTGGGCATAGTCACAGTAACAGATGACACACTAGTAGATGAGACGATATGATATACTGCGTAGTGTGGTCATAGATACAATAACAGATGAGACGATATGATATACTACGTAGTGTGGGCATAGTCACAGTAACAGATGACACACTAGTAGATGAGACGATATGATATACTGCGTAGTGTGGTCATAGATACAGTAACAGATGACACATTAGCAGATGAGACGATATGATATACTACGTAGTGTGGGCATAGACACAGTAACAGTTGACATGATATGATATTTTACGTAGTATGGGCGTACATAGACACACTAGCCGTTATGATGATATGATATACTACATGTTATGTTGCATTCGCTGCTTGCTCACAACCATTCACGCTACTATCATAGTCCTAACTTATTTGTTCCTCTCATCCATTCACCAGAACGCACCGCCAGTACCCAAGCCCACAATGGTTAAGGACGCTATTGTCATGCAGTCCTCGGGTGAGCACAAGGCTACTGTTATTTTCTCCCATGGCTTGGGCGACTCTGGCCATGGTATGGCTTTGCCTGACCGTCTCACCGTTGTTGAAACAGTTGATATCGGGTCTGTGGTGCCCTCGCCTGAATTTGGGGATTTATTTGGGGCTGTGGTGTGGTTTGGCCCAATGTCTCGTCTGTGCTGAGTCTGTAGGGGTATGGGCTATGTTGCCGCCTGTTTTGTTATACGGGTCGTTGGGTTTCCAATTTTGTCATTGCATGTAATTTTCTCGTCTTTTTTCAGGTTTGTTCTCAATAGCTAAGAAAATTCGGGTCATATAGTATGTTTTTACCTAATTTCTTATATAATTTGGGTATCGCCATAGTACCTTTTAGGTCGCTGTGTGTTCCGTGTACTCAATAGATACGTAAGAGGGTCTTGTAAATCAAATACTACCTTTCATGCTCTTACTATCAACCCCTACTCGATTTATACAGGCTGGGCCCCGGTGATGAAAATGATTCAGCACCCCAACGTCAAGTACATACTTCCCCATGCGTAAGTGAAACGGGATGATATACAGATAATATTGTATTATCTCTGCGTGCACCCCAATGTGAGGTACATACTTCCCCATGCGTAAGTGAAACGGGATGATACATAGATAATATTATATTATCTGTGCGTGCACCCCAATGTCAAGTACATACTTCCCCATGTGTAAGTGAAACGGGATGATATATAGATAATCTTTTATGTCATGTGTGCGTGTGCGTGTGCGTGTGCTCGTAGCAATTTGCCACATGCGTGTTTAGTTAGTAAGAAACAATACTGGTACGCTATATACCTTAGGCAGTAAGATTTGGAACTGATTCAGAAAATGTTGCAAACCGCTGCCGTTCTTTTCTTCTTGTTCCTGTAAGTATCGTAAAAACCTTCACCCGTACCTTCACAAGCTGGCGCATTTTGACAGAGTATATATATATATATATATATATATATGACATAGTGCCTGATAAGTTAACAAAGTATCCGTTGAACGCCTTCAAACAGTCCGACAGAGCCTGTGTCGTTGAACGGAGGAATGCCTATGCCGTCGTGGTTTGACATCTTTGGACTCTCGGCCACATCCAGGGAAGATGGCCCCGGAATCAAACACTCTGCGGCTAGACGTACGTTGCCTTTATGTCCCGAGTAGTGGTTAGTGCAACGGCACATACACGTGTTCTAAACAACACAAGAGGTACATGCAGCCATTCGTGGTCATGCGCCAGACACGTGCCAGAGCAAGCACCAACTACATAACAGCTGGACGCAAACATTGCTCCTGATCTATATCCTGAGGTCATTCTCGTTAACGGATTGGTCGAGTATTTCGTTAGGTGCGATGTGCTGTCATGCTTGTGATCTCTGTTGGGGTCAATTGATGCACGCATATGCGTTAACGGATTGGTCGAGTATTGTTACGTGCGATGTGGTGCCGACGCCTTGCTATCTGCAGAGCCATCCGTTGCGCTCAGAATCACTCGGCACTTTAGTCTCCGCACTCTCCGTCGTCTTTGTATCTGAAGTCACTTTATTGTATGCAATTCACCATGTAAGTACCAAAGTACATTAGACTAGTGTACCATAAGTAACTGATTACTACGTATGCACCCTCTCTCGTCTCCCTTTTATTACGCTACGCTCGCAAGTGGTGTATTGCACAGCCGCCTTAGCAAGTATCCCGATGTGTTTGTTACATCACCCCCCCATTTCCCTTGTCCAAGTTCGTACTATGTTTCGCTTTGTAGCTCTTCCCAATATCGTCTAAACTCGCCCGTCTCTTTATCAATCCACACCCCACTAGTAATTAGTATCGTCGAGGAGGAAATCGCTGGCGGCCTGCCCTCTGACAAAATCATCTTAGGTATGTATATCTGCACGCCCGAAAGGGAGGGTTTGTGCATGTATACGTTGACGAGTGTGTGTATGCGTAGTCGTGCTGAGGTGTACAAGGGAGTGTGCTTGCGACCATGGAACAGAACACCTTATGCACACGTTGGACAGGCACGTATACATGTACGTGCACACGACCCACCACGCCTATGGAGTGCATATAGTTCATTGCCACTATTCCATCTACATGTGGCTGATACGAGCACTATATAGCGAATCCTTCAGAGTTAAAACCCTAAAATCCTAAAACCCTAAAACCCTAAAACAATCACCCACCAGCTATATGGCGAGGTTGCGCACGTACAAATGCATGCCAGACCACCGGGTGAGCAGATGTGGCGTTTTGCCTTGCTCTGTCTTATGAGTGTCGGCGAAATACGTAGTTACATACACGGGGATATGCTTAGTCCATTTGCCTCCTTCTGTCACATATGTATATAGTTCAATCTGAAGTGTATCTATTTTAGGGACGTCTCGCGCGGCGATTCTATAAGCCGCTACGCTTGGTGTAGACGTAGCCAATAAATTGACCGACTGCGGCGTTGTGACTATATATATATATATATATATATATATATATATATATATATATATATATATATATATATATATATATATATATA